TCCTGCACCTGCACTAAGCTGCCCTGCGCACGACTCCGAGTGCCAAAGAAACTGAACGCGAAGGACATGTAGTCCTTCCTCTCAACTTAAACGGCGACTAGCACCGCTGCACCAGACGGACGTCGAGGCTCGAGCGTGCGCGCGACGATAAGATGAAGCAGCGTGAGGCGCAATGACACCAGCGATAGGGCACACTCGACGCAGCAGCAGCGCCAACGCCTTCTCCTCCCCTCTCCTCCCCTCTCCTCCAACAGTCCACCGACGCCGCCGCCGCCACGGTGTCAATCGGAATCCCCGTCCACGAGGCGCGCCATCCCGCCGACTAAGTACACGGGAACAGTCCAAGCCTCAAGCCTCAAAGCGCGATCAGCCGCGTGCGAGGACGAGGGGAGGTCAAAGCGCGTGTAAACGGAAGAGCGGGAAGCTTCCCCAGCCCACGCCCGCATCGGAGTCTGAGACGGCGGAGGCGCAGGCGGAGGGCGGGTTGTAGCTGCAAACGCGCGTCAGTATGGGTGTCTATGTTGTGGAAAGGGGGAGGAGAGGTCAAGGTACGCGTCAAGAAAAGAGGCGTGAGGCCTCGCTAACTGATTGCGCGAAGGAGGCGCCGGGCAGCAGCGCCGCCTGCTGTGCACAGTCCGACTCCCGACTTTGACGACGTCCCCGCCGCAATCCGGGCGCCCCTCCCACGCATACCCACGCCCGCGCCTCGAGCACATGCGAGCAATGCGACGCGAACGCCCAAGACGTGTACAGTACGTAACTCCGCCCACGGCGTGCTCCCGTAGCTGACGAACGCGTGCAGGTAAAGCGCGCACAATCCGGGCACTTCCAGAACCACGGCGCCACCGCGCGTTGGTGAGAACGCCGACGGGGCGGAGGAGGACGGAAGCCTCAGCGCTGGGGACCCCGCTCCCAAGAAAGCGCCCCCTGCGCGCGCTGTCGATCCGTGCGCATCCAGCCAGCAACCGTCTCGCGCTTGACGCCTCGTCCACCTCGCACCGCACGGGACCCCACGTCTCGAGACGAAGAGCGCCGAGGGCATCGAGGAGCAGAGTCGCGCGAGCTGAATCCGTCCCCGTCGACCGCCGCGCGCGCGAGAAGAGCGTTGCACCGCGAGACGCGGAATGGAATGGGAGAAGGTTGCGAGAAGGATGGACTGGCGAGGTCGGACTGCGTGCCCTCCGCGAACAGAGGCACGTCGAGCGCGGAGGCTCGCTCGCAGGCTCCCGGGGTACGCCGCGGTACCGCAAGAAGAGGCGGAGGCCTCGCACGTCCGCGAGAAAAGGAACAGATGACGCATGCCAGGGTATCGCGACGCGGCGCTGCACCCAAGCACGTTCTTGCGCCGGAATACAAACGAAAAACGTCCCCCAAACGCCGAAAACCACAGCAGGCAAAAAATCCACGAGTGAGACAATGAAGCGACGCGAGAAGACTCACTTCGGCTCGTCGAAGCTGCTCCGCGAGCTCGAACTGCTCGTCGCGCTCGTCCCACTGGACGGGGGGCGGTGCAGGCTGGGCGCGTCGATCCGGAGGGTCGGCGGACGGTGCGCGTGGCCGTGTCCGTGCCCGTCGAGGTGCGCGTGCACGCACGCGTCGAGGTGGTGGTGATGTGGGTAGTCCGAGTCGAGGTGCTGGTGGTGCGAGTCGCGCACGGGGTCGAGCGCGTACCCCGCTTCGAGGGGGAAGTGCTGCTCGTAGCCGACGTGGGCGTGGTGGTGGTGCTTCGCGTGGTGCGCGTGGGGGAGAGGTTGTGCATGGGAATGGCAGTGGGAGTGGGGTTGAGGAACGGGGAAGCCGTCGAGCGCGCGGCTGTACACGTCGTACGCGAAGCTGTCGTAGCTCCCGCGGCGCGAGTCGGCGTCTTCGCCATACATCGGGGATGCATGCTGCACTGTGGTAGCAGAGAGCAAGCGCAGATCGAGCGCCGCGCCCTGGGAGATGCGCTTGGGGCTGGACAGGGCGAGCGGGCGGGTGGACGCCCGGCGGGAGCGTCGCCGTGCGGCGCCGCCTTTGCTTCCCCAGTGCCGCCAGCGTGAGCGCGCCGGTGGGGGAGAGCATCGAGTATGGGAGGGGGGCGGGCGAGTGGGGCTGGGAGGACGCGGAGACGGAGGCGTGGCGCGAGCGCGGGGTACGGTTGGGCCCGCGCACGCGGCCCTCTTTCGCGTACTCGCAGACGAGCCCGCGCGCGAGGCAGCGCGCGCAGGAGGGATGGTCCCCGGAGCACTGCGCACACACAACTGAGACTCGGCCCCAAGGCACAGAGGGAGAAAAGGGAACAGACCTTCGCCTTGCGAGTGCGGCACTTGTCGCAGGCCTGCGCGGTGCGGAGGCGGGGGTGCTCTGGCGTGCGGTAGAAGATGCCGGTTGTGGGGTCGAGGCTGCCCGCGAGCGTCATGCGCGGCGGGGGCGGGGGCGCGTCAAACGCCCACGCCGGCAGCCCGCCGTCGTCTGCGGTGTACTTGATGTGGGGGTACTCCATGTCGACGTACAAGTCACCCATCCCAGCGCAGTGAATAAAAATGGAAAATGAAGAAAGAACTTGAGCGTTATTTAGCGAGGCTGGCTGGATGAGTTTGCGCTGGGTTACTTCCCGATCTGGTTGGCGAGGAGGCTAATTGGATTATTCATTCAATTGCAAATTTGATCCGCGGCCACCGATCCAATCCAGATCTACCACAACTCAGATCTACGACCCACTCATGCTTCAACGCAGACTCCGGGCACCCACCTCGTAATCAACTCCCCGAGGGCATGCTAATTCACTTACGGCCACCCGAGATTAGAGCAGACTTCGATTTCCGTTGGCCGAGCAGAGCTTAAAACTCTTTTTCCCATCCGCCCATTCCATTGACGCTCGCTCGTTCGTTCGCGGGAGAGCTCCGGCGACTTGCGTCGAGTCGCCGGTGCCCGGGGACGGGATCATCGGTCGGTCAGCAGAGTGACGTGCCAGCCGCGTCTGAATAGCAATGCAACCCCCGACGTCGGTGGTGCTGCCCGATCATTTTATTATTCCTATAATTACCGCGTGCCTTCGGTCGCTGGTCGTCATTATATACGACGACGGACGGCCAGGCGACAGCTGCTGCCCGAGCCTGGCCCAGGCCTCCATTTGAATTCACATCCAGCCCGGCCAGGACCGGCCTCCTGCATCTACACCGCAAATTAGGAAAAATACCCAGAAGACGTCAAGTGCTTGATAGCGCAGGGATGCTTTTGGAGAATATCTACTTGGGACAATTATGGGCATTATTGGAGGTCGATCGTTGGAGGTTAGATTGACATCATTCTTGACATCAATCAGATACGCAGTCGACCCTGCGTTGTCGTTTTCCTCTGGTGCATCTCACAAGCATTTGACCATGGCCTTGCCACCACCAGGCTTTCTGTTTTATAATATAAACCCCCACAACGCCGGCAAGCGCTTACACCACATCTTTGTTGATTCAATCTCAAATTGATCAACATCGATCACGCGTCTTGCTTCTTGCCACCTTGCCACCACGGCCTTTTGCCACCTGTTCTGTATCCGACGCCACTATACTGCCTCAAGCCATACCTAGTTAAGCTCTGGTCAAGACCTCAACTGCCTCAAGACTTGCAAGTCGGCTTTCTCCGCCCTAGTCCGGTCCTTCGCGCCTTCAAGACTCAAATCCCTTCAAACGGTCTTCCCACTCTGAGTCTTTGGCTACTGGGCTTTGGAAATTCAAACACTCCTTTCAAGAATTTCCAGTTGGGACACTAGTTTTTCGTTATCGCAAGTTCATGTCAAGTCGATTCAAGCTGTATTCGGGGCACCCTTTGACTGAGCATGCTACCAACGACTGAACGGCACAAGTACATTCAATCTCACGCCGCGGCACTCGATACTCGAACTCCTCTGTCATTGCAAGTTCGTCTCAGTCATTCAAGCTTCGCGGAATTTGGTTGAACACCCGTGCCACGGATGACTGAACGGCGCAAGTACATCACCGCCGTTCCGGCCCCCCTTCCCTACCTCGTCGTTCCCGGTGTCCTCTCACTCTCCCGGTGTCCGCGATATTGTGTGCTGGTGGACGAGGCTGTAATTATTAGTACATTTATTGCACCAATATAAGAATATCTTTTTTGTCTATACTGTTTCTGTCTGCATGAGTGCAATGAGGTGACAAAGAGTGCTCTTGCATACCTTAGTATGACGTTCCAGCCATATTATTTTGACCCCCATGAGCGCAGATGTCGTTTTGACATCAAGGGTCAAGGAGAGGTCATTTTGATTTTCTGATTGTGGTCATTTTGACATCAGACTGGTGGTGCATCAACATCTGCTTTATAATTAACATTTGCCATTGTCTCGAGGCCCCAAAAACATCAATCTCCGTGTGCGGTGTACTCCTTCACCCACCTGCTGCATCTGCCCCTTCTGCTGCGCACATTACTTACCGCTGCCTCCCTTCCTTTCCCAACACAGAAATCCCACGCCCGAATCGCGCCTGCGCGCGCCGCCGCCACCGTGCGTGCCCCTTCCTGCCCACCTCCCATTCTTCCCCTTCCCACCAGCCCTGCCGCCTTCCCACTTTATCATTATTATTATTCGTGCATTTTGCACGGCGCCGCATCGTAATAGATTTTATACGTATTGCACACCTCGACAAGGCTGTGAGATTCGATCGACGGAGACACCGCCCTCTTCTGGAATTCCTCGCTCGAATATTCGGTGGAAGGCTCCATCACCCGCGGTCCCGAGCTCGCCTTCTCTTTCTTTTATGCATTCATAAACGCTGGCAATCACCCGATTGAAGCCTCTCTACGTATGAATATAAATTTCATTCGCTTCGCTTTCGAAGATCTCTCATTCTTCTTTCTTTGGATAATTGCGTTCGGAATTACGAGCGGCGAACATCACTCTCATGTCCTAGCATCGACAAAATGTGCCATAATTCGAACGTGTACATATGCTTTTGCTGATGTTTTCCTGCAAAAAGGCCTGCACGTAGTCAAGCCTGAAATGCAGGTAGGAAGCGGACGTGGTGCACGGTGCACCACTGCTTTCCTTGGACTTTCGTCAAATGATTGCAAGCAGTAAAACGGGGTTCGACTCCCCGCGTCCGCATGGCCAGTGTCTCAACCATTTTTTTTTTTTGTTCTCAAAGGCTTCCAAAGTCCCGCAGATATCGAGGTGCAGAAGGGAGATAAGAAGCGGACTTAGTGTACGGCGCACCACTGCCTTCAATTGAATTGTCGCAATGTCGCAAGCAGTTGAACGGGGTTCGACTCCCCGCGTCCGCATCTTCTTGGGCCTTGGCGTTTTTTTCTTCTTCTTTTGGCTCGGAATATCCAAAAAGCTTGCGTAAGAAGAGGCAAGGCAGGGAAGTTGAAAGCGGACGTAGTGTAGGGCGCACTGCTGCATTCTGTAAAGCTTCTGGAAGTGTATAAAAGCAGTCAAACGGGGTTCGAGTCCCGCGTCCGCCTTGCTCGGTCTCCACATTTTTATTATCCAGGCCTGTAAGAAGAGGGTAAGAAGAGGGCTAAATGGGAGGTAAGAAGCGGACGTAGTGTACGGCGTGCATTCAATTTCCCAGTAGATACTGCCAGTGTTGAAGCATTAAACCGGGGTTCGACTCCCCGCGTCCGCCTTCTGCCTTTCTCTGACAAGTTTTTTTCTCAAAGCCTTTAAATCCTTGAATGAGAAGAGGGTAGGAACAGGTGAAGGAAGCGGACGTGGTGCACGGCGCACCGCTGCACTCCATACAAGTGATAAGTGCCGGATTTAAGCAGTTGCGGGGTTCGACTCCCCGCGTCCGCATAGCCCATTCTTTGCAGCGCCTTTTTTTTTTCTGGCTCGAAGCCTTGAGAGCTTGGATGACGAGAGGACTGAAGGAGGGGGAAGCGGACGTAGTGCACGGTGCACCACTGCAGCATTTGAACGAGGTTGAAATTGTAAGCAGTTGAACGGGGTTCGACTCCCCGTGTCCGTATAAAACATCTTGTCAGATCAATTTTTTTGTACGTGCTTCCAAAACTTACAATGTGGAGGGTTAAAATAGAAGCTGCATGGCGAGACTGTCATATTCTGCAACCAACCTGGATATGAATCTGTTAAAAAGGCTAGGTGCCCGCATCCGCCTGGCAGACATTTGTTCTCACGGTTCGCATTTGATTTTTGTGCAGGCCAAAAACCTGGATAAACCCAAGTGAATGGGGTCTTATACGTGAATGTGGTGCACCGTGCACGACTGCTTCCAATTGCCGCGCGTAGTAAAAACATGTAAGCAGTCAAACGGGGTTCGACTCCCCGCGTCCGCCTTGCCTATTCCTCGCCTATTTTTGTTTATCGTAGGCTGAGAAAGACTTGGATAAGAGGGCATAAGGGGAGGTAAGCAGCGGACGTGGTTCACGGCGTACCACTGTCTGAACTAGCTCGTCCAGCAAGATATTGCGAGCAGTTCATGGGGTTCGACTCCTCACGTCCGCGTCCGCCTGCTTTGCTGATCCTTTTTGTCGGAGGCTGTGAAAGACTTGGATCAGAAGAGGGCAGAAGAGGAGAGGGGAAGCGGACGTGGTGCACGGTGCACCACTGCTTTCAATTGAATTTCCAGTCGACATCAAGCAGTCAAACGGGGTTCGACTCCCCGCGTCCGCATGGTCACGGTCTCAGCCATTCTTTTTGTTCTCAGAGGCTTCCAAAATTCCGCAGATATTGGGGTGCAGAACAGAGGTATGAAGCGGACGTAGTGCACGGTGCACCACTACATTCCTTGAATCGCTGCCAAATGCTTACAAGCAGTTGATGGGGTTCGACTCCCCGCGTCCGCATGTTCTTGGGCCTTTGTGTTTTTTTCTTCTTTTGGCTCGAAATATCCAAAAAGCTTGCGTAAGAAGAGGGCAAGAAGGCAGAGAATAAGCGGACGTGGTGCACGGTGCACCACTGCAGAATTTATACGAGGTTGAAATTGTAAGCAGTAATCCGGGGTTCGACTCCCCGCGTCCGCCTTCGCCATTGTCATCCAGTTATTTTTTTCAGACTCCCCAAAGACTGCAATCCGGAGAGCTGAAATAGAATTACACACCAGACATTCATTATACTCCATCAACCCAACAGGAGCCGTCCAGGTTCCTGCAAGTAAGCATGGCAGCATTTTGTTCTCACAGCTCGGATTCGAAAGCATGCTACTTGAAGAGGGCAGGAACGGGTAAAGGAAGCGGATGTGGTGCACGGTACACTACTGCATGCTTATACGGATTGAAGAACAGCGTAAAAAGCAGTTGATGGGGTTCGACTCCCCGCATCCGCCGTGCATATTTCCCCAGAAGAGGTTTTTTTTTTTGATATCAAAGGCTGCGAAAAGCCCGGATGAGAAAGGGACTGAAAGGGAGGTAGAAAGCGGGCATGGTGTACGGCGCACCACTGCCTTCAATTTCACACTGTGGTCCAAGTTCAAGCAGCTGAACGGGGTTCGACTCCCCGCGTCCGCATCCGCCTGCTTCTCTCTGCTGATCCATTTTGTCGGAGGCTGCAAAGAGCTGTATGAGAAGATGGTGAGAAGGGAGGAAAGAAGCGGACGTGGTGCACGGTGCACCCATTGCCTTAAACATATTCGGTGAAAGGGGTTGTAAGCAATTGATGGGGTTCGACTCCCCGCGTCCGCTTTGCTTTTCTCTCTGCCCTTTTTTCTGGACTCGAAGGCTTCAAAAAATCCTGGGTAAGAGGCGGAAGGAAAGGGAGGTAGGAAGTGGACGTGGTGCGCGGTGCACCACTGCATTCAATGTGATGATTATAATGATTGCAAGCAGTCCAACTCCCCGCGTCCGCATGTGTTCTTGCTTTGATATGTTTTGTCTCAGAAGCTGCAAAGAGCCGGATGAGAAGAGGATAAGAACAGAGGTAGGAAGCGGACGTGGTGCACGGTGCACGACTGCAGCATTTGAACGAGGTTGAAATTGTAAGCAGTAACACGGGGTTCGACTCCCCGCATCCGCATAGATCATGCTCTTAGAGCTTTATTTTATAATGCCGAAAAGCTGGGATGAGAAGAGGGAAGGAGTGGAGGAAAGAAGCGGACAGAAGCGGACGTGGTGCACGGTGCACCACTGCTTTCAATTGAATTTCCAGTTGACATCAAGCAGTCAAACGGGGTTCGACTCCCCGCGTCCGCCCTGCTCCCTCATCTCTTCCATTTTTCTTTTCTTTTCAGTAGACTGCTAGAAGATGGATGAGGAAAGGGAAATAGGACAGAGAATAAGCGGACGTGGTGCATGGTGCACAACTGCCTTCAATGAGCTTTCTTCAATAATGCTCAGCAGTTGAAGGGGTTCGACTCCCCGCGTCCGTATAGCATCTTTCTTCCAATTTTTTTTCCCCCAACAGACTGCCACAAAAACAGGGATTAGAAGAGGGTAAGAACAGAGGTAGGAAGCGGACATGGTGCACGGTGCACCACTGCAGCATTTGAACGAGGTTGAAATTGTAAGCAGTTGCACGGGGTTCGACTCCCCGCGTCCGCATAAACATCTTGTTACAGTCAGATCTTTTTTTTTTTATGTGCTTCCAAAACACGCCAATATGGAGGGGTAAAATAGAAGTCGCATGGCGAGTCCATCATATATTCTGCAACCAACTAATATATGAACCTGTTGAAAAAGCTAGGTGTCCGCATCTGCCTGGCAGGCATTTGTTCTCACGGTTCGGATTTGCTTTTGTGCAGGTCAAAAACCTACATAAGAAAGAAATGAAGGGAGGAAGCGGGCGTGGTGCACGGCGCACTACTGCCTTCAATATGGTGTACGAACAAAAAAATGTAAGCAGTAAAACTGGGTTCGACTCCCGGCGTCCGCATGACTGACCGATCCCCTTCAGTCTTTTTCTCTACTTAATAAAGGCTACCAAACCCTGCATAAACCCAAGTTCAAAACGAGGTATTACAAGCGGATGTAGTGCACGGTGCACTACTGCCTTCAATTTCGTGTCGAAGAAGATTGCAAGCAGCTCACCGGGGTTCAACCCCGCGTCCGCCTTCTGCCTTTCTCGCCTCGACTTTTTATTATCAAAGCCTGTGGAGGGCTGGGTAAGGCCTGGTAAGGGAGGAGAGAAAAGGAGGTAGGAAGCGGACGTAGTGCATGGTGCACCGCTGCATTCAATACTGGATGTCCATATGATTTCAGGTGGTTGAACGGGGTTCGACTCCCCACGTCCGCCTATGTAGATAGATATTTTCTGCCTTTTCTTATTGTTGGAATATTACCAAGCCGACACGTTGTGCACTCGTTTACCTACATGGCTGTTTGGAATGCTGGCATGGAGATGCACAGCAATGTTGCGAAACACATCTCAGCTGGTCTGAAACACTGTACACTCCATTGTTGAATGTTTCTGTTTATGATTGTATACTACATTGTTTTCTGAGGTATAAAAGCCCTCGTACATCTTGGAATAAATAATCTAGATCTTGCTTTCCCTACTTTCCTTACTCTCCCCACTCTTTTGGATACCCCATTCTCACACTTATCTCTTGAATGCTGTAAAGCTTGGATATGAGAGGAGAAAGTAGAGAATAAGCGGACGTGGTGCACGGCACACAACTGCATTCAATTCGGACATCCTTCGTAAGTGCAAGCAGTCAAACGGGGTTCGACTCCCCGCGTCTGCATGCACCTTTCCACTGACACTTTTCTTTCTCGTAGGCTGAGAAAGACTTGGGTAAGGGGAGGAGAAGAAGGGAGGTAGGAAGCGGAGGTAGTGCATGGTGCACCACTACATCCCTTGAATCACTGGCAAATGCTTACAAGCAGTTGATGGGGACTCCCCGCATCCGCATGTTCTTGGGCCTTTGTTTTTTTCTTGTGTTCGAAATATCCAAAAAGCTTGCATAAGAAGAGGCAAGGCAGGGAGCGGATGTAGTGGACAGGGCACCGCCTTTCTTGGTGCCGTGCAGGAAGTGCAAGCAGTTGATGGGGTTCGACTCCCCGCGTCTGCCCTTCCCGGTACCTTGACATTTTTTTTCTCTCCCGGGCAAAAAGCCTTGGATGAGAAGAGGGTAAGAAGGGAGGTATCAAGCGGACGTAGTGCACGGTGCACCACTGCAGCATTTGAACGAGGTTGAAATTGTAAGCAGT